TTTTTTATTGAAAAATACCTCAGGTTATATTTTGTTTTTCTCTTAACAGATTTTCATGCTAATCAAGCTGGCATAAGACTCGAGCTCCTAATATCATATTACATCATAAAAAAATCATCCTTTTCATAATCTGGGATCATTTTTAATCTCCACACCAGGCTTACTTTTCGCTGGATTACTTAAGGTTGTCAGGGCAATAGATGAAAATATAATTAATCTCAATTAATTAATTACTTGAGAATATAATTATTCAGTAGAGTCGAAATCAAAGTCATGTCCATATATATACTGGGAGAAATAAATGAAACTGCGTCCACATATCGAAGCATTTTTTGCTCTTGAGTGGGTCATCCTGAACCAGTTTCTCTTAGCAAAAGTTGGTTTCAGTGCTACGTCCGTTCTCTGTTCGGCAGTGGGTAAGAAACTGTGTGTGTCATGTTTAGACAAAATGACCAGCTTAATTTTCTGAGTAGGAACATGAGTGTAAAGGACGAGAGTATCACGCGTATATAATTCAAAGCTCGTTGATTAGCTCGCTTTCTTCAACAATAGGACTTCATGTTGGACCCGGTCTCTGAAGCTCTAACTATGCGTTGATGAAAACTTTTACGTTATCTTGTTATATTGGTTCATTGAAGGCTACCATTGTACTGATAAAAATTGCTAAGAGAAAATATAGTAAATTTTCAGGTTACTAAAAAATTTTATTCGTTGTATGATTCAGACGCTAGGGTACTTTCATTGTTAAAAATAATAAAAAGTTTGAAATTTTTAGCGTGTTATATTCATTTTTCTGGGTAATAATGCGGGAACTACGAGATGAACTGCTATTATCAACTCGATACCAAAATTTTTATTTCTGTTCAAAATATAATGTGGACAATGTAAATTCCGTACATGTTTGAGCACCAAAATTGAACCTGCTGAACCAAATTGAACCAAAAATTGAACCTAATATAGAACCAAAATTGAACCAAATATCCTTATGCTGTGAACTATGTCGGCGGTATTACCGTGACGAGAGAGAAGAAAATGAAATTAAAAATTTATGAGATATACATGGGGAATGATGAATGGCTTGCCGTCTTCTGACGAGCCAAAATTCTTGTCAATTTTTATCCTTAGAATATAAAAAATTGAATCATTTGAGTGATTTTTTACAGGAAAAGTTACTCCAAAATTTTCTGAATAATAGACGTTGTTATTCATAATTTATGCATGCAATAGCTTTTGCTGCACATTTTATGATCAAATTGTCCGTTTGACTTTATTAACACGGTTTAAATTGTTACTTTTGCAATTATTTTTTGTTATTATATTACTTGTTAGAACTGGAACGTGGTAATTATGAAACTAGGCTTCACATAAATTTAACATTCAAATATCATGTCACTCCGATGTTGTAAAACTTAACGATCGATATCAATGTTTTTGAACACCTCTTAAAAACTGTGAATTAACGAAGTCTTTAAAGCCTCTTAAAGTCTTTAATTGCTTCAAGTCTGACGTTCGCTACACAAAGAAGAAAATTAATTGTGTAACACTCTTTTATCTTTACGACTTCTCGGAAAATTATTTTCTTCCAGCATAATAATTTTGCGGATATGATGGTTCCCGCGTGATAATGGATGCAAGAGGCCGGCATCGTATCGCTAAACCGCTGCGTTTGCGAATAAATTTGCATATCGCAACCAACAAATGATGTTCAGCCACGCTTCCATATTATGACTAAGAAATTATCGGTGGATTATCAGCGGCAAAATATTTATCGCTCATTGGGCAAGCACATTCGAGGATGAGGATATTTAGAAAGTATATCCTACCAAGAGCATCAAGTTGGCAAGGGTGACTTAAAAATATATTAAAGACTACGATCGAAAATTTAAAGGTCACAGATATATGAGAAAAATATCAGCAATTATAATGCCGGCGAGTGGCCAAACTGTTGCACTGTGAAGTTAGCCTGCTTTAATTACAGGTTAAACATTTGTGGCCGAAAATCGGCCATCGATGTACATTTGTGGGGATTTATCACATTACATCATCAACCTGGTGGGCTTTGTTAAAATATAAATATTACTATTGGCCTATTAATGCTGGGCTGGTGCTATAAAACACTTAACCAAGGGACACAAAGAAATTTTTCCTGACAAAAGATGGGAATATATTTCAAAAATGCATAGGCTCATAGGCCTGTAAATGGGAAGTTTCCCATTTACAGGCAACGCTGGAAAATTCAGGTTGTGTACTACGTATCAACGGCACTTGTGCGTTGAAATCTACTATTCAAGAAAGGGTGAACAAAATATAGCGATGTAAACTCTCGAATTAATGCTCATGTAAATAATTGGTAAAAATGCCAATTGTGACTCTCTTTCCATTCGTCGCCAAGCAAATGCGTAAAATATTCTCAGGTGCGCAGCCTGGAAATCGAGTACGAAAATCGCGAGTGTCCGTAAGAACAACGCGAGCCTTAAAAGGAGCAAGGAAAAAAATGCTACGGCAAAGCCGCAAAAAAAGAAACGAATAGCCGGGAGCCACAGATGCTCTACAGGCATTATGGTGTCAAGCGCCTCGGACTAAAAAGGACCGACACTCACCAGATAATTCGATGATTGCCCTGTAAATTCCGGAGACAAATTTTGATAGCGGTGTCCATCCATCACAGGCAGGAAAGGAGGGAGGCGATCGAGGGTGAGATCCTCGATTGAAAAACTCATGTTGTAGGATCATCGGAAAGTGAAGCGGGATTAAAAGAATGCCAAAAAGGGAATAGCCAGAGAGGAAAAGGAAAAGTGGAAGTAGGGTTTGATTAGTGGAAAGTGAAGCAGTATTAGAAGAACTTCACAGTGGCAGTAGCCAGGATGAAAAAGGAAAGTGGAAAGATGGTTTGATTGGTGGAAAGTGAAACAGGATTGGAAGAATGTCTTAGAAGGAATGAACAAAGAAAAAAGGAGGAGTTGACAAGGCTCCTTGATAAGTAGAAAGAGAGATAGAATTTTTGGGAAGCATTGAAGTTGAACTTTCAGAGAAAAGTGAGATCTGTTTTGGAAATAAGACAAAGTTGACATTTGAATATTTTAATTACTTGAAAATTGATGAATTAATAGTTTGAAACTCTGATTAAAATTTAAGAGCCATAAGCCATGATTTCAAGTCATGCAGTTTTTTTACGGAAGTAGATACGGATAGTTAAAAAGCGATGATAATCTGTACACGAATGCAAAAGCGAAGATGAAATAAGTGACTGATTCATTATATATTATCACAATATTCATGAAAATTCTCGTATTATTATCCCTTTACTTAGGTTACATTTCTGATAATTTAAAGTATAGTTGGTTATTCGTTTGAAAAATATTTTCTGTTTTGTGGCCTCTGGCGCTAGAATTTTTGGAATTTTTTAAATAAAGCGCAGAATAATCCGACAAACTGTATGTAGTACAAGGCAAGTTTAAGACGTTGTTTACATTATGAGATTAAATTCTCACGACTCGCATACTGAAGATGCGTTTTAAACAAAATCATAGTTTGCATTCAAAATAAATTCCACCATTGTAGGTGGCCATTTTTCTAGGTAATAGTTGGCAAGTTTATAATGATCTATCTGCAAAATTATAATTAGATAAACTATAATCTCTCAAAGACAATAACCGAGACAATAAATTTATTCTTAAACAACTGAGATAAATACGCTGTCGTCAACTAGGGGAACAGGAGATGAAAAGTGTTAAAGTTGGAATTTTTATTGAAGCCATAAAGCTTATAATATTATATATCCTATCCTTAAATTTCTTCATCTACCACGAATTTAAGCAGTTTAGACACTAATTTGAAAATTTGTTTCCTTAATGCAGAGCCGTGATAAAGCCCAACAACCTCTCCATTTAACAAGCCATGGAATTAGCAGATTTCTATGAGCAGTAATATACATATTTCTCTTCTAAACATTTTCAGCATAATACCCGGGATTTTTTTCCTATTGCAAGAGGCTGGTAATGAAAGAATTTTAGAAGACTCGTCTAGCAATTTTATAAGATTACTTCAAACAACTTTGTAAACTGAAATATTTCATACAAGTATTCATTTGCTTCCTCGTTAGTTTTTATCAACGCCGTTATATTAACCATTCATTAGCAAGTACATGAAGTGGAGCCTAAACCAAAGACACACATACATTATGACGAGCATTAATTATACATGTGCTTCAGCACATGTATAATTTTTTCATATATTCATACGAACTAACAAAATCCAGGAATGCAAACCTTTTTTGCTTAAAAAATGTCAGCAAAAACCAAAAGGTTCAGTAGATAATCTCCTAGTTAACAGTGTTAATATAAAATTAAAAAAACAGAAAATTTTAAATTGATAGATCCTGCAATTACTTTTGCGGCCAGCCTGATATTGCAATGACACAATTTTTAGTTAAAATTACAATTGCCATGAAATTGAAATTTGGCATGAATCAACTTGACAGTAAAATAACTGCAGGAAATAATTTCTCGATCATTATGATCAATCCCAATGTATAACAAAATAAAATCTAAAGATTGGAACATTAAGCATTTGTAAGTTTGCAAAAAAAAATAAATTTTAAAATATTTTAATGTATATCGAAATTTACCACCATCTATATATTTGTTACACTAGTTAATATTTATGAAATTTGGTCTTTGGAATAAACTTGTAGATTAGAAATAAATTATGGAAAAATCTATTAATTTAGTTAAGCACGTCACTATGAATAGTTGTGGATGATTTCAGGACCCAAAAATTAGGTTCCGGGTTATTAGAAAAATACTGGTAAATGGTGAACGAGTTCATTTGTTATGGATTATTTTCAAATAATAGTATCGATGCACTTGGAGTATAGTGGAGAATATTGAAAATTTTCTGATCCGCGTGTGCTATCAAGTTTTATGAACAATTTTGGTGACGAGGTACATTTGTTAAAAAATCAATCTTTCGAAAATGTGAAAAGATATTACATTCCATTTTTAAATTCATTGTATTTATATTTTTCTATATTTGTACGTTCAAGACAAATCTATGGGGGCAGGAAAAATCTTCACAGGATATTATCGGGAAAATATCAGGAGATTTTCTTCTTTGAAATAATACATACTTTAATTCAAAATTTAAATTCATGAATATCTTTGAATTTTTGTACTGAAATTTTATAGAATATATTTTACATGAATATCAAACATTTCCTCGTGCAGTCTCAAAATAATTCATATCAATAATCATCTCTGAGGTCATTCAAATCAAAATACATAATTATTCATTAATACATAAAACGAAGCAGATCATGGCTCCCTATAAGCGCAATCTTTGATAATAATTATTATTAATTCCTGTTATATTCATGACCGCCTAACTCTAAGCTGAATCAAGAAATAAAGGAATGTAATCATGAAATTAAATTATACATTTTGACATGCGAACATATACTTTTGAGAGGTTAATTCGTGTTTTTGCTCTTGGATTCAGAAGAGGAGCAGCAGCAATGGCTACCGTGAAACATTTTAGGGCTACTGCTATGTAACAATTGATATTTAATCACTACAGCACCCACGAGTAATAAACACGACACAAAATTGAATCAGCATCCTCCTAATATTCCACTATGTCTGTTTTTTACATTTACATTAATGAGGGAATACTTCCAACGTAAATACAGTCTCCACTCGAGTACTTGTTAAAAAATACCAAAATTGTACAGTTCTTTGGTAACCGAGGTGGGATATTAGCTAATGAAGGCGTCAAAGCTAATGGGGTCCGAAAAATCGTAAAAATTAAAAATTACGAACAAATATACACGAAATGTACAGTTTAAACAACTCACGATACTCGAAATTGGCACAAATGATGGCCCTCATAGCTTTTGTAAGAGCAAACAAGATTCTCTCGGCTGCGTAATTCAGTTTAGCGTCAAACTGATCGAGCCGTTGGTGATGTTGAAGCGAGAACTTCGCCTTTAGCTGGTCGACTCTCAGGCTCGGTGATGTCGGCGACGTCTGAAAGAGGTGGCGTGATGGTCTTGTTTAGTCGTCGTTTGTCGACTTCATCGCCATATTCGATGGATGCTCTCAACTTAGAAACCATATCGGAGACCATTTTTTGGCCAGCATCTTCTTCCTCGTAGTCATCAATAAGAATTTGCTCATCTTCGTCGAGTTCTTGAGCTCGTGTGTGAGCAGACATAAGAGACGCGAGACTTGCTAGGTTAGCGGGCGGCGAGTGCGGCGGCGAGTTGGCCGATAGGAAGCGCGCTGCTGCGCTGTTGGGCGGCATGCCAGGGTAGCACGGCCGCGACAATATTGCTTGCGGTCGGAACGGTACGCCAGAAAAGGGCGATCCTAAAGCCGATAAAGAGGCCAATGTTATCGGTGGCATATGAAGAGCTGTAGGGCGTAAAGGTATTGAAGGGGCCAAGCTCGGTGACATAGTGGCAGCCATCGCAGCTGCGTACAGGTGGTGAAGAGAAGTAGGAGGGCTCGGTAAGTAAGATTGCACGTGATGGAACTGAGGAGGTGGAAGAGGCGGAGGTGGATATAGTGACGAATAGAATCCAACAGACGTTGGGGTAGGATAAATTTCTGAAGGTGAGTACAATATTGGTCGATGCTGCAATGACGGAGGAGAAAATAGGTTGGGCGATAAACCGATTTGAAATTGTCCGGGAGAAATGCTTGGGAGACTTACGCGAGGTTTCGGGCTCTTGGCATCAGAGGCAGCCAGAGTCTCAACATTAAAAGCTATTTTTGTATGTGAAGTTGGAAGGGCAGTCGAAGGAACTGGTGAACTCAACAGCGTCTCTCCAGGACACCGATTAGTTTCCATGCAATTAATTGGCCCGCCATTTAGTTGTTGCAGTCCTGCTTCTAGTGCGTCTTTTTCAGGCTTAGTTATTTTGAATCTTTTCCTGCGTCGAAGGAAGCTCCCATTTTCAAACATGTTCATGGCTGAAGGATGCAACGTCCAGTAGGCACCTTTACCGGGTCGGTCGGGACGCCGAGGAATTTTAATAAAACAATCGTTGAAGGATAAGTTGTGTCGCAGCGAGTTCTGCCAGCGCTGGGTGTTCTTGCGGTAGTATGGAAACCCATCTGTTATGAACTTGTAAATATCAGCGAGTGTGCACATCTTTTCAGGACTGTTCCAGATGGCCATTGCAGTGAGTGAAATGTATGAATAAGGTGGCTTCTGGTCACCATAGCTCTCCCTCGTTGGCCGCGGCATTGTTTTGAAGGAAGAACTTCAGAATTTTAGCTAAGATGCAAAACTTCTCGGAAGCTCTCAGGTGGAAGGAGGATGTCTGCCAAGTTTTTGGTGTTGATAGCACGAGTGCACGCTCAGCCAACTCACTCTAGCAACTCTGCAACAATAACTGGTCGAGACGGGCTCGGCCGAAACCCTTTAGTGTATTCCTTCCAGAGGCGGAGTCTCGCAGTCATTGGACGCTCCATGCGAGCGTTCCAAGAGGCTGGATCCCGACGCTGGACTGTGTTCAGGGTGGAGCGAGCCTAGCGCCGCACTTTGCTCGTGATAAATGGAACAGAGTTGACCAACGTGAACGGAACGACTGCTCTCTGTAGGGAACTTTAAAATGAGTTATTATAGAATAGGCATAGCTCTGCTGCTCTCGGGTTTTCTCATCAAACAGGGCCTCTCCATTTAAATCTTTCGCCAACAAAATACAGTCATTCTTGCGGTTCCATGGCAGTCAAGCATTCAAACAATTTTCTAGACGTACGTGAACTTGGAGTAATGAATGATTTTTTTTCGCTGTACGTCTCACAGTATTAAATCTTCTGCATGTTCTTCCTCATACCTTGGTTTTGAAATTTTGCAACGGGCTACTCCTATGGATAGGCGAAAATATAAAAATTTACAATATATAAACGGCTTTCTGAACCACTTTTACTTAGGTTTAATTAAGAAATTCAATATCGCAGTCCTCAACTTAAAATTACAAGCTTAAATTCCCATTAAATAGGAGATGGGTTGGTAATTCAAATATTTTTTAACGAGAAAAGTGGATAAAATGAGGAAGAGTTTATGCGGACAAATTAATTGTCTTTAGAATTTTTCTTCTAATCGTTGCATTTATATCCAATGAACTGCGTTTAAAAATACGTGGCCTGTTTTGATTATTTCAGTTCGGTCATGAAAGAAGATCTGAGCTCAATTAGATCGACTTGAATACTTGTTTTGTGATTCTTTAACTACAGCGATGCAGGTTCGCAAGGACTACACGAAGTTGTTATTTATCTTCTCATTTGACACTTTTAAACTGCGTTTTTTTTTTTTTTGTACACGAAGATTTCAACATACACGAGTCTCAACGTGGTGCTGCTGCACATATGTCCGTCTTTTGAAGCACTCCGCTAATAAATTAAGATTACCACGCATAATCACATAATTTTTGTTATACATTAAAGTTCTCCTATGTGCTTGAAATAAATTTGATGCTTTTTTCGTGCGATTGATATGATTACAGAGTGTTTACTGTGTTGATAATATAATATATTTAGAACTCCAAGTTGGAACAGAATGAAATCATATTTGTTTGGAAACATTTTGAACAAAAACGAAACGTTTCTTTTGAACTTTCTATATTTTTCAAAGCGAAAATATTTCATGAATGTGCAAAATAATTGTTTTAACTGTTAAGAACTGGCATAGTTATACAAAATAACAATACCATCACCCATTGATATTTTGTGCATTATGTGCGGAACTTGGATCCCTATAGTACAAGATTAGTAAAGGGCAAAGTTCAAAATTATTAAGGGTATTATAGGACTTCTCTAACAATCACGATAATGACAAATTTAATTTTAAGAACGAAACAATACACTTGGCGGAAAATCTACGGGTTCGTAAACCATTATTTGAGTACTCCACCGATTAACATTCCTATCGTCTCTATGAGAGTAGTGGGCGTTGGCTATGTATTTAACAGCCAAATAAATTAATGAAGGTCAGTTTTGATCTATATTATTATTTGAATTGCCTCTTTGCTGATTCGTAACACAAGTATTGATTAAATCTCAAAATGGTCTGTCGGCAATAGACGGGAAATATTGCGATAACTTTATAAATATATTTCATAATTTTGATCTTTTATTTTCCAAACAAATGTATAATTTTCAATAAAAATTTGGTATCTGCATGACGAGCAACTATTATTTGTGTTTGTAGAAAGCGGATAACTACCAAGTTTTGCAAGCCCGTTGAAAACAATTTTATTAGTAAATACATATGAGGTATTAAATAAATAATTAAAAAAAATTGTGATACTTGAAAATGTTTCAGCAGTGCTGTTTTTTGCATAAACTGCTTGTTTCAAAATCCAATTCTGTAATAAATTCGTTATATTAAGACTTATTATTTATGATATTTGTAGTTTAACTAAGAGGAAAATATTGAATTAGTGACGTACGTCTAGTGAATGGGACGCGCTTTTTCTGGACCATTAGTTGCTTTTCCAATATTTTTTTTAGAACTTGTGATAGCGACGGACCAAATAACTTATGAGGACAATGGCTTTCACAATCGAGTCCGCAGCATTAAGTGTTTGAATCGAATAAATTTCATCAGTGATCATTTAGCGATGTTTTAATCGAATAAAGAGACGAATTTTGAGTTCATTCGTTCAGGAAGATGAATGATATCATTTATATTATATTTTTCTTCATTGTTTATCATTGTTTATTCTTCTTCATAGCAAATTATGACAAATCCTTGGAGCATTAACGATGCCGTTAGCGGCAATTTATATATTTGCGCGATATACAAATAATTTGTAAACGTCAACAGGCAAAAATGTACAGAGATTAACACCACCGAAGTTAAAGCTAGCACAGGGGAAGCCTAGACAAGAGTTGCCTCAACAGATCATGTTTCTGCGTGGTGTTGGTTGATTATGTGGACAAAATGAAGTCATATTTAACGAAGAATATAATTGAACGAGCATTTTTGTAGCAATAAAGACTATGATATTGATGTAAATTTTACATACTATGAATCAACAAATAATAATTAATGAAAGGGAAGTGCACAAGACAAATGCGTCGAGAATAAATCACCACACAGATTAGTGTCATAAAATTCCAAGATTGAAAACTGCCCACACAACCAATTAAAATTGCAATCATTTCACATTCAAATGGTAGTATTTCAAACAAAAATATGAGAAAATAGTTTCTTCGTAAATTTTTTGTCAATCAATAACAAGCTAAACCGGAAAACTTCGACTTCTGCTGCACTACATCCAACAGCCACAACCGTAACTCTCAGGTACTTCTCGTCATTAATCAGTCAGCTTAGAAGAACCACGATAATATAATAACAATTTCAATTTAAAAATGACAAGTCTCCTTTAGTTGGGTAAATCCATTTGTAAAGTAAAATTATTAATTTTCATCCTAAGTAAGTTGAGATTAAAAAATTATATGTGTATAAATTTATTCAAACATTCGGCATGATATTAATTCTTGAAGTAGATACCTAAACTCGCAAATTTCATCCGACTCGTCGATTTGACACGGTGGCAGAAAATTTTTTCGCGATTTTTATATATCTATTTCAGTCGATAATCCATCTGACATGCATTCGACTAAAAATTTCTATTTGAGTTCCAGGGAGGATAAAACAGAGCCGTATGCTTCACTTGTATTTTAAGGCATTGAGAATTTTTTTACCCTAGATTTACAAATACATCCTTTGCGATTAAATATATTATGACTATTATATCATTATTTTTTATAATGGTTATTATTATTATTATATTTGCATCTGAATTTTGAAAACCACACTTTTCTGAGGCAGGAAGGTTTCTGGCCCACAATCCTGACAGTACAATGGTGACGTAAAGCTAACTCACATGTGCTTGACTTACTAAGTTAATTTTGTTTCAATGTTATGATTAATTAAAACCTTGAATTACTGCTTTTCCATAATGAAGATAAAACCTAGATGCTTCATGGATGCACCTATTTGTCATGAATAATTTGAATGAATTTATTCCTTTTTGTAGACTTCCATTGACCATAGAACAGCATTATCATCTCAATATTATTTCCAACACAAAATGTCAATCATTTGTTTGTTTTTTACGAGAAGACCACAATGTCCCAAAACTACTTTAAAATGTTTTAGGATTCATTAATTTTTTCGCGAACGAATGAGTTGTTAAATTATTTAGGAACAATGATGCTGATTGTGAAAGATCATGAAAAATCACGGAAATTTTGAAATCACATTCTTGCCAGATATTCTTCTCGATGAATGCCCTATGCTGTTTAATGAATATCCGATGAAAATTATCTATAAGATTTAACTACCACTAAATTATTATGAAGTGAATACTACAATATTATCATCAATACGAAGTTATATTACCAGACGCTTCGTGAGAATGTTAACAATAATATAACAGTGACAATAAATTCAGTAACAATAATAACCGTGAAATAATAAATCCTGTTTCGATTGTAAAATAATAAAAAAATTATTAACAGATGATCATTAATGAAGCTGTTGGAACTTGTAATAGCATTTATGCAAACAAAATTTTGAGTTTATTGCCGATGGCTTCCCATATTGGCTATTCAATGGCCTATATATACGATGTACATGTTTGAATTCAAACAAAGTGTGTTCACCACACGAGATTGTTTTCATATTGGGTTGCTTCCCAGCCCGATGCACTCTATGATTAAATGTATTCATAAATCATATATATAGCTTCAACACATGCCTGATCGTTTATAATCATAAATGTAACTCCAGCATACGGATGTCTGATTCGTTAGCCGCACAGATGTTTGCAATTGAAATCACTCCTGCACAATATATGTACCTCGTGCCACAATGAAAACCCTCATCAATCACACATGTTTCCTGTATAATTCCTAGTTTCTCAAGTCATTAAAATATCACTTCAAGTTTCAACTTCAAATGCAGCTCTAGAAAATTAATTGCAATAAAAATCATTGAAAATTTTTCGTTTTGAGATATCCAAAATCACATATAATATCCGGGATCTGTATTAGCAGACATCAATAGTTAGTAAGTGTTGGAAAACACACACATTGTACACCGCACCTATCCTTAATTCGCCTTATTTTTATTTGTTCTGAAGATAGAGAAATATTAATGAATTAGGCCGCAATAATAAAGATAGTTTCAGACACTTCTGGAGTTGCTGCGATTCTGGACAAAGTTAGTAGAATTATTCTATAATGATATCATTTATTCCTGACCTAAAGTTATTAGAATTACTCTATAAGAATATTATTTATTCTTGACCGAAAGTTATTAGAATGATTCAATAATAATATTATTTATTCTTGACTTGAAGTTATTAGAATATTCTTTTAGTTTGTATTTCAGTAATATCAAAGTTATTTATCAATGGTCTCAATGCGCGCAANGTTGGGATAGACGTGGTCCTCAGCACCTCTGTGGTTGACATCACGTTATGGTTAGGTTTGGTTAGGACAGACGTGGTCCTCAGCACCTCTGTGGTTGACATCACGTTATGGTTAGGTTTGGTTAGGACAGACGTGGTCCTCAGCACCTCTGTGGTTGACATCACGTTATGGTTAGGTTTGGTTAGGACAGACGTGGTCCTCAGCACCTCTGTGGTTGACATCACGTTATGGTTAGGTTTGGTTAGGACAGACGTGGTCCTCAGCACCTCTGTGGTTGACATCACGTTATGGTTAGGTTTGGTTAGGACAGACGTGGTCCTCAGCACCTCTGTGGTTGACATCACGTTATGGTTAGGTTTGGTTAGGACAGACGTGGTCCTCAGCACCTCTGTGGTTGACATCACGTTATGGTTAGGTTTGGTTAGGACAGACGTGGTCCTCAGCACCTCTGTGGTTGACATCACGTTATGGTTAGGTTTGGTTAGGACAGACGTGGTCCTCAGCACCTCTGTGGTTGACATCACGTTATGGTTAGGTTTGGTTAGGACAGACGTGGTCCTCAGCACCTCTGTGGTTGACATCACGTTATGGTTAGGTTTGGTTAGGACAGACGTGGTCCTCAGCACCTCTGTGGTTGACATCACGTTATGGTTAGGTTTGGTTAGGACAGACGTGGTCCTCAGCACCTCTGTGGTTGACATCACGTTATGGTTAGGTTTGGTTAGGACAGACGTGGTCCTCAGCACCTCTGTGGTTGACATCACGTTATGGTTAGGTTTGGTTAGGACAGACGTGGTCCTCAGCACCTCTGTGGTTGACATCACGTTATGGTTAGGTTTGGTTAGGACAGACGTGGTCCTCAGCACCTCTGTGGTTGACATCACGTTATGGTTAGGTTTGGTTAGGACAGACGTGGTCCTCAGCACCTCTGTGGTTGACATCACGTTATGGTTAGGTTTGGTTAGGACAGACGTGGTCCTCAGCACCTCTGTGGTTGACATCACGTTATGGTTAGGTTTGGTTAGGACAGACGTGGTCCTCAGCACCTCTGTGGTTGACATCACGTTATGGTTAGGTTTGGTTAGGACAGACGTGGTCCTCAGCACCTCTGTGGTTGACATCACGTTATGGTTAGGTTTGGTTAGGACAGACGTGGTCCTCAGCACCTCTGTGGTTGACATCACGTTATGGTTAGGTTTGGTTAGGACAGACGTGGTCCTCAGCACCTCTGTGGTGGGCATCACGTTATGGTTAGGTTTGGTTTGGACAGACGTGGTCCTCAGCACCTCTGTGGTTAATATCACGTTATGGTTAGGTTTGATTTGGACAGACGTGGTCCTCAGCACCTCTTTGGTTGACATCACGTTATGGTTAGGTTTGGTTAGGATAGATGTGGTCCTCAGCACCTCTGTGGTTGACATCACGTTATGGTTAGGTTTGGTTAGGATAGACGTGGTCCTCAGCACCTCTGTGGTTGACATCACGTTATGGTTAGGTTTGGTTAGGACAGACGTGGTCCTCAGCACCTCTGTGGTTGACATCACGTTATGGTTAGGTTTGGTTAGGACAGACGTGGTCCTCAGCACCTCTATGGTTGACATTACGTTATGGTTAGGNATGACATCATTATGATAGTGACATCATTGTGATAGTGACATCGTTGTGATTGTGACATCGTTGTGATAGTGACATCGTTGTTGGTAATGACACCATTGTTGATAATGACATCATAGCTGATGACATCATTGTTCACACTAACACTATTGATTCTGAAACAAACGATTAGAGTGAAATGCAATTGAAAATGAACAGTAATTTTAAAATTAATAATGAATGGTTTAGCTATCGCTCTTCGAAATTGCTAGTGCACTGCAGTTAAAATTAGCGTTTCTGAATCTTTCAACGCTGGCATGAATTAGCTGTTCCCTCCCATATAAGTCAGGCTTTCTTTATATCTGTCTGCCTACATTTCAGTTTGTTTATGACTTCACAAAACCACTAGTGAAAAGAGTAAAATGCATAGATATTTCACAATATTTCATATATATCGTACCAAAAGGGTTTCTAATATTGAAATATTTTTCTAAACTAAAGGAATGAATACAATTACTGACGCTAAACTAAACTAACTAAACTTCCCAATTTTTCAAAATTCAAAGACGAACAAAGAGAAATAAACTTCGTCTTGGTGCACCGCTGGCTTAAGCTGCAGCCCACTAGACAAATGACGTTAAAACGGCGTTTGAATAAACGTTGATTCGACAAGACAACATTTGATTAAAAAATAACGTTTAATTCAACAGTGATTCAACGGAACAAGGTTTAATTCAACGTTAATTCAACAAAACAACGTTTAATTTTAAGTAGAATCAATATCAAATGTCTTGGGAACGAAATAACGTTTAATTCAACATTGATTCAACGCAACAAGTTTTAATTCAACATTGACTCAACAAAACAACGTTTAATTCAACGTAGAACCAATGTCAGATGTCTTGGGCTCATGGACTCACGATGCTCCTACGGCCTCCACCGCAGGACCGGACGATGGTCTTCTCGAAGCCGGAGAGCCCGCGGCGCCTGAGCATCGCGTCCACAAGCTCCGCGCTCACTTGCATCACGTACTCGTGGTCGTCGTGGTCTGGGCACCGACGATTTGGTGTATCGTTAAACAACGTTTGATTAACGTTTATTCAGCTCAAAAAGGTTATATTAATGTTGATTCAACGTAAGATGTCTCAACCATACCTCAAATCAACCATACTTCCGCGCTCACTTCCATCATGTACTCGTGGTCGTCGTGGTCTGGACACGGACGATTTGGTGTAAGGCAACAGGGCAAGAAGATTTCGTTAGACGGGAATTTTTAGGCTTGCTGTATGCCTATGAGCATCGATGGTATCTATAACGCAATGTCGGAAAAATATTCAGCTTGATGAGAAAAATTAATATCAACAATGTTTGGTCGACGAGGTCTGGGCTAAGACGATTTGGTACAAGCAACAAGAGGAAGATTTTGTTAGTCAGGTATTTCTAATTTCTTGAATTCTTTGCGGCATCGATGGTGTAGGCGAAAATTATTGAAAAAAGACTTGGCTTGATGCCAAATAATCTAATAAATATTTGTCGTCTTTGTATAGGCAGGGTCAAAAATGGTACATGAAACGGGAATAAGCTTGGTTTGTCGCGAATTTAAATTATAGTACATTTATTTTCCTGGACGCTTCAGGGCATCAATGGTGTCCATGCTGCATTAATTGAAAAAGAATGAGCTTCGTGATGAAAAGAATCTAATAAAAATTTTATCGCGTGCCTTGTTGTGTTTGTCGTGTCATTGAAAGGTCTGCAAACCTGATGTTGAATACGCAAACCTGATGTTGAAAATGCAAACCTGCAAACCTGATGGGATGTCTTTCTATACCTACACAAATTTATCTAACAAGAAATTCATTCCATGGGCATTTAAATACATACCAAAGTCAAAAATAATAAATATGACCAAGTCCAAATATCTCCAGTCACCGCTAAATGAATGCAAAAAAATATATATACATTCTAAAATATATATGCTATACTGGTAGAAGCTCCAGCTGGTGAGGAAAGTGAGAAGGCTCATTAGTCACCTTGGCTTAATCTTTAACTAACCTAATTCATAATTGAATTGAAAAATAATTAGAGCGAAGTCTAAGAAAATGTGCGTCCCAGCTTATAGACTTTATGCAAGACCAATAGCTTTTTGACCGTCCACTTTAGAGAAATCTGGTCTGAATTAACGTTCACAGAACTTCACGAAACAAGCAGCGGTCATTAAAATAACCTCATAACAAATCTTCGATGCCGACACTACGATATAAGAAAACTCCGAGACAAGATGGGTTGCACCGAGACAAGATGGGTTGCACCGAGACAAGATGGGTTGCACCGAGACAAGATGGGTTGCACCGAGACAAGATAAGTTGCAACCAAAATAAGCGTGATGAACGAGATAAGAACTTGTGGCACGGAAGAATGCGACGAGAAAACGGGAATCCAATGAGATAAATGGGAAAACGGCCGGTGTAGAAGGAATGTCGTCAGATGAAAAGGTATGTCAAGATGAATGCAGTCCACGATGAGAAATGGATGAAGCCATGAAATAACTGAATATGAAATAACTGAACTGATGAAATAACTGAATATTCTAGCACTTTTCGAATAAGATATGAAAACTTTAAAAATCCCGAAGCACGTGCAATATTTAATTACGGCTTACCTCATTAAATTTTATTCATAGTTACGCAAATTCCCCTTTCTGTTATTTCCTATGTAGGCTATTACAAGTTAAATTCACGTTCTATGACAGGAAAAGTAATCGATAGCAATTTAAGAAATTTGGCAATAAAGGTAAATTAAAATTTCCTTACTTTAAAGGTGCATATTATTGCATTCAAGATATCAGCAGAGCACAGAAAAATACCTTTAAATCTAATTTATGTCTTCAAAACTCCAAGAAAACTCGGTATGCGATCGAAGCATACGATTCGAAAAAATACTATAAGGTAGACTAATTACTTCACTGATACAAGTGAACAAACACGTACTGCACCAATAATTTACGCATCTTTCTACACTGGAGTAAAAGTTCGTTGAAAATATTTACGGGGCAAATCCAGAGTGCCGCAGCTAGATCATGCCACAAATGTTTTTAAACTTGTCGTTATTCCACCGTACCCAGTCTTGAATAAATCATTTTAATAATCTTATCATCTCTAGAATTAGCCACTTCCGTCACCGGAATGATAAGTAGACTGTCAGTAAACACACTGCTGGCGTCTCATTAATATGCCAAAAGTGCATTTTCATTAGTTGATATGACTAATCTAACTGAACAATTAGAAATACTAAAATTTAACATATGACATACGCTAATGTTAAGTAGGTTTGAAGCAAATGTGCATGCATAAAGGATTGCACCTGCCAAATAGCCTGCAAATAGGATACTAGATTGAAATGGAAGACGTCATTCTCACGTAATGAGCGTTTCGACCGCTTAATAGTTCAATTGAAAATCCTAATATTTGAAGTTTGATACCAATGAAGAGAAAAGTATGACAAACGCACAAATGTATCTGCTTAGTAGGGAAACAGGCTAAGCAAAACTGCATGAATAGTGCAAAATCCCGATGGAATTTCAACCGTACAAAACGAATTTCGGACTGGACAAAATGCTCTTCCTATAGCAACCCTAATGAAAATTTTCTCCATGTATTCAAATTTGTCTCAATATTTAAAGGTAATGATTATTAACTGCCCTGTACACGTGTAACGATGTCTAATAAATTTGGTAAAGTAGCTAACACCAGCACGCATTCTACATGGCAATGCTTCAACAACGGTCGCACTTCCATTAGTAAAGCACGTGAATTTACAGGAGCTTGGATAGCACTTCTCACAGCAGAACGTTCGACAAGTTTACTGGTGATCAACATCGACATACGCTTTCATTTAAGATTAGATCAAGCACGACAGTAAGTAGCACCATATTTGAATTGGCCTTTCATTCGGTTGATAATTAACACTTGCTCATCGGTGCTCTTCATAAAGAAAATACCAGGTAACCATTATATTAATCCGGTACACTTATGACGAAACCGTTAAGTAATCAATATTAAATTGAATAGATCGTTCCGTGAAATCTAAATTGGGAAACAAAAATGAAGACCGCGTGAACTATGACTTGAAATAGTCGAAGCCTAAAGGTTCCGCGGCAAATTAGGACAAAAGAATGGAAGAAATGTGGTACATTCACCATGAAATTTCTCCAAGTTTTATTACTCAAGGGAACTTCTTTTATCGACTATCAATATAACGAACGAAATGTGCGTCCACGCTCCCTATCATGCACGCTCGATAAGAACCTTCTCTCAGTAAATAATTTCAGCTCACACTACAGAAATTGCTCAAAGCTCATCAACTTCAATTTCGGAGACCAGCCTTATATAGTCGTGCCAGTCTCGTGGTAACAAACTCCTTAGCTTGTTTGTATAAGACCTAGCAGATCATGAGGCTGAAATCTTTCTCTATTTCCCACTTCTATAAGAAACGGTTCTTTACCAAGCGCCTCAGGTCCAGACGAGTAGCAGTTGTTGGATAAGACGTATGGGTAAAATTCTTACAAAGCAGAAACTAATTAACTGATTTTTTGGTGGGATCAATTGGAGTGCTGTGCTTTAGACGATTCAGTCTGTAAGCTTCAACACGGACTGGCGATGTTACTATGCGTCCGACATACTTGCCAACATTTAAATAATTTCGAATTTGTATAAACAATTGAACTGATTTGCATTTTTAATGTAATGAAACGAAGTAATATAAATGATCAGAAAATACGTTCTGATTTGAATTTCTTTTACTACAGTCTTGACAATTAATCCACACTTAAAATCGTTGACATACCATAGAATAAATTATCTCCTGTGGTTAGTGCGATCACAATATCTTAGAATTTCATTAATGTACGACATTTGTGCTCTCCCAATATCTTGTAAGCTGATCAGCAATTTACATGAAAACAAATTAAAGATTATGTATTGAACCTACAGCCCTAATGTCAAATAAAAAA